GAAGACCCCTCCAGGTAGGGGATGCAAAGGGCAGCTGGAGGCTGCAGCTACCTGTGGCTTCATTTGCCCATGCCCTAAGCCAGGGCTGGTGGGAGCATCCCAGGGATGCATTCCAGCTCGCTGGAGATACAGTGCAGGGACCTACCCGGCCCGGGACATGTTCAGATGAAGGACACGGTGAAGGCAATCCGGCAAAATGCTGTGCAGATTTCATCCCACCGACTCTTTTGGGAGGCATCCTTTTTACTGAGGACGGTGCTAATTTGGAGCATATAATCCGATTTTGGGTAGAAAATACTTGCCTGGGAGATGGAAGAGCCCCAGCGGGGCTGCCTGGGAAATGGATGGAGAGTTTTTCCTCCACTAGGAAAACCTGAAATGATATGTGGGGTTTGGGGAGCTTCTTTTATCAGCTACTTGGCATTTTTACGGAGAGCTTCATCAAAAGCTGAACAGCCAAAAGGGTTTTTTTGTTGTTGTCTTGTTTTTGGTTTGTGGCAATAAAGAATCTATAACATTGGCAGGCTTTTATATAAGAAAAATTTACGAGAAAGACTCATGTTTCTAGCATTTTTCTTTTTTGATTTAAAAGAAAATCAATCAAACCCCCCTTCAGACAAGATTAGTTCTAGCAGCTTCAATCAAGAGGCTTTTAGAAAGCGCTCAGCATTAATAATCAATAATAGCAACCTACATTTTAGTAGTACTCATCATCTTGGGCAAACCAAGCATCTTTTATATCTAAGCTAACCAAAATATGCAGATGCTTCAGCCATCAATAAAAACGCAACCTCCCCTTGGGCAGAAACAGGCACCTGCCTAACAGCGCTGACCAAGTTGGCATTCAGGACAGAACTAGAGGAGACATTTATATTTCCAAGAATATAGAAATATATGCTGTTCCTCTTCTTTCTTGCAGGGCAGGAGGAACAGCTTGCCATCGTCACTGGTGGAAATTTCAGTTAGCGTCTCACTGAGATGAACAACTATTTCGTCTCTTTTGGAGCAGGTGTTTCAGGCTCTCTGCAAACTCAGCTATCCTTTTGCTTTAGCTTTGTGGTCGGCTTGGCTTTGTATCAGCATAGAAGCTGGAAAAGTGTGCTTTTGGAGATGTTTCCATCAGGAGCTAAACAAAAAATCCTGCCCATCTCAAGGCTGGGGCGAGGTGGCGATCCAGATGTGGTCCTGGATCCGTGCTTTCCCTCAATCCACCTCCATCAACTGCCTTTTGGGAGCAACGAGGATGATGGGTTGACGTGGAGCAATGATGACTTACAGGATGCTCAAGATACGGCCATGGGGCAATCCACACGGCCCACAGCCTGACCCTGGGGACCCACAGGGCACAAAGCAGCAGGACAGTGCCCCAGTCACCTGCTCCTCCTTCATGCATCAGAGGACATCCCAATCATTCCTCTTCCCTCCTCAAGCCCCGGTACAGACTGAGCTCGCCAGCCCCCGTGCACTTGCAGCATGGTGGGCACAGCCAGGAGGACTCTCCACCCCCTTCCCTCTGCCCTGCCAGTCCTCCTTCCACTCAAATGACAACCTTTGCTCTTTCTCTCTTTTCCCTGGCTCAAAATGCATCTCGGGCAATTGCCTTCTCACCACTCAACTTCTTCATCAGATGTTTGGTGGGCAGGGATGAAGGTCTGGGAGCAAACGGTGATGCCGCAGCCCAGCCGAGCTCCCAGCACGGCACGGTCCCTGTGAAAACGCACCCGAGGAACAAGCCCATGCCAGAAGACTCAGGCT